TTCGGAACGAGCACGTCATAAACACACCCCTTGTTGAAACAGATTTCGTCAAGAAACGAGTGAAAATATGTACTGCTGCGATTCGGCAATCGACTTATCTTTGTCCAAAGTTTAACCTTGTGGAGAGTTGCTTGTTATCCTCTCTAAATAGAAATAAGTTCAACCCAACTAGTGCGTGCAATGCATCAAAATTAAACGTTTGTATTTTACCAAGAAGAAAAATGATCAACAGTTGCGGATTGAGACTAGTCGATGCTATGAATACAATAGTACCCAGGAGCAATAGTAGAACAGACTTCTACATACATACGTACAAGAACCTTCCACGAACATTCAATTTCGTATCTTCTAGATCGACAAAATTCTATCAACAATCCAATCAGACTATAATAAAGCCAGACTCGATAAGCCGACCGCTGCCTCTCGTTATTTCACTTTCCGAATCTGTCCAGAAACGATCACTTCAGCAAACACCTACATCTCTTCCAACACAGTTCCTTGACTCTAGCAATAAAACATCACGCCATCCCATCAGAAACGTCTTCGTCACCGATCTCCATCCTCTCCCAAGGAAAACGATTGGAAAAAAAATCTCCTCGATGAGGACGGACAGAGGGAGCCACTAAGGCTGACTTGGAGACTCTTTGATTCGGCATCGGCCGCAGTGCATCCAAGGCCGCCTCGAATCTGGACGCATAAACATGCCAGAATCGTGGGACGTCACTCCCCATAATAACAATAAGAAACTGTCGGTCCCGTTCCCGGGGACGGTGGACCCAATCCGGCCCTCTCGCTCTCTCGGGAACCGGAGATCCCACGTGATTACGACCACGAGAGCGTCTTCACAAATCACTCGGTCGCTCGGAGCGCTCCTTCCGTTCGGCGGCCTCCCCCCCTACCCCCGGAGAAGATATTCCTCTCTGACTGCGGTCCCCTTGCCCCCTCGGTCGACCGATGTCGCGAGCTATTCCATTTGCGGTGCGCTCCTGCGCAACTTGCCAATAAGTTACGTCCAGTAGCCTCGTTTCGCTTATCGGAGAACACTTAACCGCGACGCCGAGGAATGCGTGGGACGCGGATTGATGGGGGTGGGTGGGGGGAGGGGTCTATGGGGGCAGGGATGCGCCAGGGAATGTCACGGTTTTTGAGTTTGACGCGTTCTGAAACGAGAGTGTTTGTACTTGTATAATCTCAACTCTGAATCTCGTGCGTGTTTTCATCCCTGAGGAACCTGTGCCCCACATGTGGTACATCCCGCTTGCAAGCTTCTGATATTGTATTGTTGTCCCGTCGGATGTATGGAGAAATTGAAAAAAAGATGAAATTAATCTTCGCTATTAGTAAAGTCCATCGTTTGTCTCGAACATGTATACTTTCGAATCATGAAGTTTTGTTAGTTAAGTAATAACTGTTCGAGAATCTATTCTCTTTTCATTTAAATTGATATTCGTATTGAAAGGCAAGTATACTGTAGGCAGTGCCAGAACTGGATGCAGCTAGATCGCATGAATTTCATTAACGATTTTAGATCATGAATTTTCTGTACGTTATAACTTCTTCCGCTGTTATATGAACACAATTTATGAACGTTGTTAACTTCTAACACGATGTTGCAGAAAAATATTCAATTGCAATTAATGCAAATTAAGAGCTCGCAACTGAGGCTCATCAGTTTCTGAACTGGTATTAATAACAAATCATTCTTTGAGATCATTTTTCAAGATAAACATACTTTTGAGGTATTAGTTTTAATCTTCTCCGCAGAATAAAAAGAAGCAAAGGTTTGGCCCCCCGTCTCTCGCCGCCTAATAAAACATTCACTCACTTTATCCACTTAAAAAAGTCGGCTCGGAGGAAACAGAGGGATGAGACACTCGATTATAGCCGATCGCATTGCCCACGATGCCGGGACACGTTCGAAGATAATATTGGGGGTACCATCTCCCTTGGGACGGGCAGGGGGAGGATGGAGATCGCCCCCGCATAACACAGCGACTGCATTCGACGTCGCGCCGCCGCAGAGCCAATTAAATAAATATTCGTTGACATCACGGCCGCGTCGCTTCTACAAACTGGCCCTCTGCATTCGTCCAAAAGGAGCTGCTCGTCCTCCTTCATGCCCCACACCCCTTTTGTACCAGCGAGGCTCTTCTGTGAAAAGGATACAGGTTACGAAAGCTTTGTCCTCGTCGATGATTTTTCAATATGTTAGCGAACATTTTTAATAGTTTCCTGAAAGAAAGAAACCGAACTGCGTAGCCAACTGGAATACTGTAACTTTTAATTGAAGGCAATATCTACACCGAAATGGTGATCGATAACCTTCGTTCATCAAAGCACTTAACCCGTATGACGAATACGTTAATAATAGTTTAGAAACAAATTTTAGAATGAATATGTAAATTTCCATGCTTCTATCGAGCACCAACGGATCGAAAGCCACCCTGAGCTCCAATTCCATCGCGAGGCAGCCCGCAGGAAAAATGTACCCCAAAGTATCCGTAGGCGTACCGTGTATGCTGTCCGAGTCCTCTATGACACCCTGTCCTTTCCCGAAGGTGTCGGTAGATGTTCCCGGGACCTGGTCGGCTGGGACAAGCGAGATATATCGTCTGGCCGGCTGTTAATAAGACGAGACAATGCCGGGACCCGGTGTGTGCGTGTGTGCTTGGTCTGGTCTCACGAGAGAGGCCACGGGCGTTCATATGTTTATTAGCCGGACCCCGCATAAATAACGCGGCTATAAGAACGAGAGAAGAAAGGGTGAAAGGAGGGGCCGGACGAAGGCCCGGAGAGATCGGCCGAGTAAATTGTCACACGCTCTCTCCGTTCTGAGGGAACAGGGAATTGGGGTGGTGGGCCCAGAGGCCCTGATCGGCCGGGAAGAAAGAGGAGCGGGTGGAGAAAGATCCTATTCCAAGGTGCACCGTGCAGGAAGGACTAGTGATGAACTCAAGACGCTTCGAATCGCTTCGAACCAGATTTCGATAAATGGTCATTTGAAATTTAATTTTCTTTTTGTTTTTCCATTATACTTCATCGATCCAAATAAACGAAATATGTTTCATTATTTATTTACCTGACATGGTTTCTTGAAGAACAATCTTGAAAATAATACAACTACACTTTTCCTATTTACTCGTAAGTATATTAACTATACGGGAATTAACTTAAATAACACTATAACTTGTACGAATTTTTCTCTGCCTGAATATTATTACAAAACTTCTCAATCGCGCCAAATCGTTGAAAGTGGTGAGGAATTCCAATATACCTAGATCTTTTAATTACACTTAACCTAAATTGCTCGAAAACTAACAGAAGCACAGAATCGAATGCCCATCGCTAGAAGCGAACTGTCCTCGGACAGGGGGCAGACGGGGCCCCAGACCCTTGAAGGGTGGGGAAAAGGCGGGAGGGGAAGATGGACCGAGAACCGGGCCTACCTAATTTACCTCCCAGATAATGCGGCATAATTAAAGCAAAATGTAACGTCGCTGGCAATTAAAACAAATTTATGCGACCAAGATCCGCGATCGGCCGACCCGAGCCCCTTTCTGCCGGCCTTGGCCGCGTCCCTGCCTCCCGCCATCACTACCGCGAGTCTCAAGGGACATTATTATTGTTATTGCGAGTGAACGGGGTAGAATATTGCAAGAAAAATATCTAGGAAATGTTAAATCATACCTTTTCAGAAGAGTAAAAGACGAGATACTTAGACAAAACCATGATAACAAAGGCTGCAAAGTACACTGAAGTAGAGAAGTTAAATGATCATTCTCTGTATAGTTTCATAGTATAGTCAGATTATCGTTAAAGGAACGACATGAAGTATTATAAAATAAACAGTGTGAATTTTGTGTTTGTGTATACGAATTTTAATATATAATAATATGTAATAATATATAATAATACTCGATAAATGGGACACGAACAATCCCGTTTTTCCCACCACTGGGAGTTCCCTAAGACCATGTATTTTTAATGATTTTAATATAAACGAAATCTAGACGTAATAATTGCTAATAAAAAAAATATATAATCATAGAATTAATGTCTTCACGTAACTCGGACTTGATAAACAATATTATTATTAACTTGAACACGCCTAAAAAAAAGACAATATCCTTGTTATATCTAGTTTACAAAAACTCCGAATGATATCTGAAGAGAAACCGAAACTTATCATTTTAAGAACACTATGTATATTTTAGAGGAAAGTAGAAAATATCTTTTAACGCTTTTTCCTAAAGGGTATTTATCGAAAAACATAATCAAAATTAAAAATTTAAACTCGTTTTCGTTTTTAATTTATATCAGAATCTACTTGACCGCTTAAATAACAAGCTTCATCTCCTCAAGTCAAAAATTCAACAACGTTGCAGGACAGCAGAGCACACGAAGGCTTTTCGGAGCAACCATTATATACAAAAAAAAGGAGAACAAAAAAAACAGTTGTACCCGAAGAAGGACAAAGAAGAGGGAACGAAAGATGGGAGGACGAAGAAACTCCGTAAGAAGCAGTCAAACGTCGCATTTTCATTTCAGTTTGTCATTCCATCACGACGATCCGGTTTCTGTCGATCCTTTTCTAATGTTAGGGGTCCACCACGTTTAATTGGTCGCCGATAAGATTCTTTTGTACTATTTCTTGGATTTCTAACTGGTTACAGTGTCATCTTTTCAGAATCTGTAATATATATTTCAGAATCAGGGAACTATCAATTTTGTTGATCTCTATTTAAATAAATGGAGTTTAGTGAAAGGGAAATTGACTGTACTAATATACGAAAATTCCTTTATTCGAACCAATTGTCTCTTCTTATTCTACTGTACGCCAACACCATCGGTTAAGCATAAAAAGTGTAAATTCAAAGTGAAAACAGTAACTTAAATCAAGAGTCGATGATTTTTGTTTCTGTCGACGAAAGAAATTAAATGTTCATTTTTACTCTTTTCTTTTCAGTCACAACAAAGGTCTCCACGCAACCAGGAATCGCATGATTTCGCAGTACTCGGTTGACAGAACAGCAAAAGGAGCGGCAGGTATTCCCGCAACGACCTTCATCGACAAGAAGCCGAAGTGCGCGAGAAAGGACGAAGAAAGAGGCAAAGAAAAACAGCAGAAGATCTTGAAGCCGCGTAAGACAGCGATCTGAGGTAACCCGCTGTTCGAAAGACAACTTACTAATTCATTTTGCAAGAAGCACTTCGGATGAAAAATAACATATTCCAAAAGAATCAAAGTAGTAACCATCGTAGGTTACCAGAGAGACACGTCCCTGGAAAATAATTGTCTAATAAAACTTTCCGAATTAGCATTCGAATCCTTGAAGTGTGTTGAATCATATTTATCAATATGGTACACAGCAATTTTAAATGTTTCGACATAGAACTTGTACAAATGTTTTTTTACAATTATTTTATTTGAAGAACTTGTGCCTAGAATTCTCATATTTATGATTTCTACTTAGGTACAGTTCTTACAATCCTCATCCTTAATTTTTTCTTCACCTCAAACAAATTGATATTCCAAATATGCTGAACTTCCTCTACTATACACTTTTCTGACCTCGTGTCTGCTGCATATCCCACTAAACGTGAGAAAATCTTTATGATTATAACTTTAACCTCATCCATTCCAATGGGTATGACGTTCAAGCTCGCGAGTTTTCGTGAAACTCTTCAGTAAGTATCTTTGACTTTGGTAGTAACTTGAACGTATTTGCCAAACGACAACGGTTTCTGCTCGTGTCTCTGTTCTTTGCCAGAACTATCACGTTGCTTCGATCTTTAAGACGCCCAAAATAAAGTCCGTCATACAAGGCATTCTTTACTTTATGACCGTATTCGTTGGATGTACAGGCTTTGATCTCGTCAGAATGCGAGATGTCCACTGTATCCACCTTTACACCTGTATTCGTATATATGGAGGTTACAGGCCAACGTATATGGGGAGACCGGTGCAACCAGCCCGGTCGTGCTTGTCATATTCAGCAAAACAGCAACTGTAGTAATGGGACTAGTCTCATGGCACAGCTATTAATATTGATACCTACCAATCCTCCACTATCGCGTCGGAGAAATAAGTAGATTTATCGATGTTCTTCTATTGATTACGAAAGCAAAAGAATGGAACAGTGGAATCGAAAATTGTTTCAAACTACATGACAAAACTACGTTCATCCTGTGGCATCACTGTAATCTTCTCCCACTTTTTATGCGATATTTAATATTTTTTAACAATTTATCAAAAATTTAAATATAGTATACCAAAATTAGCCTATTGACGAAAAACATGTAAACACAACGGATTATTTTTATAGAAAAGCATTATTACTTTGTTGCAATTGAATTAATTATGTTATACAGGATACATCATAGTCCGTAAGCAGAATTGTAAGAGCAAATAAAAATAACAAGAAACTAAATCTATCTATTCATGTTTTTTAGATACAAACTGGGGCAATGTACTGAATATAATGCACATAATAACCTTGAACTTCGACAGATGTATCTAACTGTTCTGTTATTAACTTTCTGACTTGTTGCTAAAATTCCGTGCCCTTGTCTGAGTTAATGTTATTTACCACTATGCTGTAAAACTGATAGACTTAGGTGTCCCTGCGCATAAACAACTAGAGGATTTTTGGCGATTGAAGTTTCAATTGAAGTAAAACCATAGATCCGCCACAACCAATTCATATGTTTTGTTTTCAGTTTGCCACATTAAATCAACGTGCTTACACTCGATGAAAACAAACAGTAAGAAGCGTTAAAACCAAATATCTGGATCGAGTCAAGAATGCCAGCTCTGTTGCAATCGAGAATTATGAAACTACGAGCATGGTCGCAAACTATTGTACTTTCTAAAAACACCATTTGCTAATATATGTTTTAACTGTGACACATAAGATTATTATAAATATAGCTATAATACATACTACGTTAATCAAATTCAGATTTCCTTTTTTCTTTCTAATTTAGTAGATTCATCCCTTAAAATTGTAAACGTCGCAAGTAAGTATGGCCATCTAAAAGCATCTGAAATCAATATAAGGTAATCGAAAATGAAATAATATCCAGCAGCAATAACGTGCATTCTTTTTCCCCCTCCGACGTCGCGACCTCCATTTTCTCGCTACCAAAAAGAAATCCCGAGGCTCACCAATAAATCCGATCCTTAGTATCTCGTTCCCTAACGATCCAGATCGGTAACTGCACGATCTTATTAGCAACGCAAGTCCGTGACAAAAAGAGGGGCCCCCGCTAAAGAAGCCGGTTGCAAGCGAAATTCATGCGCAACGCTGAAAGAAGAAGAAGAAAAGGGGCCGCCGCGGTCGCTGAAATATCCGTAGATAAATTGACGTCAAATCGGATTTTATTGCGAGAGAGAGGGGGCGTCTGGACACGAAGAAAGGTGATAGAAAACAGGTCCGGTCTCGCCTCGAGCGAGGCACAACTATTTTGTGTTTTTTATCGCGGTTCCGACGCGCCGCTATCGCTGCGCCATCTGCCTGACAAACCGCGCCATCCTCATGAATACGTCATATCTATTCTTTTGCCAACTGGGGGCCCATAAACCCGGACCTCATTCCCTTGGTCCTTCCAAGTCGCCGTTTCTACCAATTCGGAATTCGGGGTTCCCGGCCGTGAGACTTCGACCTGCTGTAACCCCCATCGGCGTCGCGATCTTGCGTGCTCTGCTACCGGGCCCCGATTGTACACCGCCGAAGAAGGCCAACTCCAAGAAGCAGGGGTAATTTATTCGAATTTGATGCATCGCTTCTTGCTTACACTTCGATCCCGAATATTACTGAACGTTCTTCGTTCCTTCAATTACTTTACTATGTACACCGACGAGCAAACTCGGCTTCCGCCAGGGGAAAAAGTGGCGTAAGAGAAAGGCCTCCTACCACTTGGTAAATTTATTTCAAATACTGAAATAAATGTTAAATTGAATGTTAATTTAACAGAAATTTCAATAATTCCCAAGACCAAGTGATAGAAGGCCTTTATCCTAGACAGCTTTTTCCCCTAGTCGATATCGAGTTTGCTCGTGAGGGTACAGTGAGAGTCAAAACTAAGTGTACACCTTACAAAACGTGAGGTTCGTGGTAATACTTCTGTAGCATCTTACTATCGATCATGGTAATAATACAGTTGGACATGATTTTTGTACAGTTTTTGGAATAAATAGGCAGCTAACGTATTATAACCTATAACCACAAAATTTGGTTAAACATGGTGAATGTACTATTATGGTTTGCGGGCAGCATGGTAACCTATGATGTAGGGCACCTGGTTTTTATTCATAGTACTATGGACAGATTTGGATATTTAAAGATTTCAAAATCAAATTTAGCCGCAAGCGTGGGTCTTTTAGTGAGAGTTCATAATCCAAAATGTGTATAGCAAAGGTGGGGAAAAATTGTTTGCTGGAAAACACTTTCAATCAGTCAGATCCTATTTCCACAGTCACCAGATCTCAATGTAATAAAGCATCTATGCGAAATGTTATATAACTGAAGTGGGAGAAATAAATATGAATGAATCCCATACTTCCAAAGTGTATACTCACTTTTAACTCTCACTGTATGTTGTGTCAACTTGGCCTTCTACCAAGATAAACATTTCAAAACACGTACCTATTGGTTAAATTTAAATTGGTTTTGCAATCCTTTACACTTTACGGCAGTGAATATTAATTCGAATTAAGGTTGAAATTTAGATTATAATAAAGAGTTTGAGACTTGAATGACAATAAGGAAAAAAGAGAAATGTAAGTTGTGGATAAAAGCACACTTTGTTCGATGGCCTAATTGAATGTAACGCAAACTAAACAATGTCGATTCGCCTAGCCCCGCCACCCCTTCTATGGGTGTAACCTAGTACCCTAGGCTTTGGGTCGCGCCACCTGCTGCAGTGAATTTTCTGTGGTCTTCTAACCCTGTAACAGTCTGTTGAAGCGATGATAGTATTTCTTGTGGTCTGGATCTACTTTTATACATCGCTTAAAATTAAAGACAGTATATTTCAATACAAACGAAATCAAAGATAACATTTATTGTCAGTACCTACATTTATTTCGCAGGTCATTCTCTTCGAAAGCTATTATACACTTTCCTTCTACATAGTCTTATTCTTTGTTGAATGATAAAGGATCTCTTTATTCACTCTATTTACACGAGTTTTGTGCACAACACAAAAATCTATACGTGCCTAAAAATGACTTGTTATTTATAAATATTTACTATATCTTACATTTTAATGTTACTTTTAGTTATTAACTACTAAAATTATTTGAATGATGTAATAAAATAACACGAATGATTAATACGAAATAATAAACAAGACATATATTTAGAATGACGAACAGTATTAAATTAACGGATTAATAATAACAAAGTTTAAATATTGCTTTCGACTATCACTACAGCTAGAAAGGTCCTTCTTTTCGAAAAAGCTTTCAGGTACAGTAAAATTTGATTACTACAATACACTTCTACCGGATACCTCGAAGAGCTGAAAGGTTGTTTGAGGAAGGTGCATGGTGAACAGGTAGACGAAGATGAGACTTCTTCACCGCAGGTGTCAAAAGCGGCGCCGGCGCTACTCTTTCGGGTCTTACCTGGATGTGGCACCCCGAACAATCGTTGCGCAAAAATTACGGTCCGTAAAGTGATTCGAAAAAAAAAGAAACAACCGTTGGCATCGAGTGCTAATATTTCGGATGTGTTTGTTGTTCGTTTAGCGTGTGTCTCAACATTACATTCTACAATACGCCTGCAAATAAAACAGGTGCATTTACATGCAAGGGAATATGCATTTTCTCAACTTTTTTTGTGAGTTTGCGAATATATAATGTTGTTCTTCTTTCAGATTTCGTATGAAAACAACATTTGGAAATTTGAATAAACGGAGCAGTCATATTGCAAAAAATGAAGTTACCGTCGAATATTTCGTAAAACTAAGCAAATGAATTCTTATGACAAATCAATAAGAAGAAATTTAAACATACAGATTCTAAATATTATTGATTCATACATTTTAATTCACAATGTAGGTACTTATACATTATGAACAAAGTAAGTCGCGATCAAACGAAATAAGTAGTAACACGGTAAACGAAATAGGTAGTG